TACAATACATGTACGTTACTTTACAATTCACTGCCAGATGACATTAAACAATTGAAGTCGGTTCACAAATTTGAGTTAAAAGTAAAATATTTTCTGTTGCATAACTGTTTCTATACAATGAGAGACTATACTGATTATCAAAAAGAAAAAATAATGTTTATTTTAACAAAATAGTGAATTAGTTTACATTTGTATTGCATATTTTTTTAAAGACTTAATATGTTTGTAACAAATAATGTACTTCAGTTTACGGGTCAATTCCCCCATCTCGACCAGGTTTTTGTCCAGTTTCCGTGATCCATTGAGCAAATGCTGAGATGGCCCCTTGTTTTGGTTCTGGACGTAAATGTAGCTTCACTATGCGCACGTTTTGTTGAACCCTCTTTTTGCTTGTAATGGTAAGAGTAGAGATAAGGACGAGTTGCTATTTTGTGAGCAATGCAGAAAAATCATACTTGTATTTTGTGTACCGATGTAAATAAGTTTTCTATAACTGAGAAACTATAATGACTATTTTTCAAATATTGCTAATCTTACTATTTTTCAAATTTATTTTTATTTATTTATGTTAAACTTTTACTCATCTTTCAACTATTTATAGTTAAAAGGGAAAGGATTTTGGAACTCAAGAAAACGTGCGCAGACAATCTTTTCCCCCCTACGTTACATACAGTTTTTACTGTTGTTTTGACTGAATAAATCTAAATTTCGTCAAGGAGATCGAAGCGATATTATTTCTAACGTAAATGCAAGAACCCTCAAATGCAGGACCTTTATGCGATTCCTTTTTTCTACAATAATAGCCTGTAAGGTAAAAGTTCTAATGAAACTAAGTTCATTATGAAATAACCAATGTTCTGTAAAGCAGAGAATATCCATTTTTAAATCGCTCTGTAGAGCTGCTTCGATAAACTCAGTTTAATTTGAAAGGGAATGAACATTATGGAGCAGTATGTGTATCTTTTGCAAATACCTACACGAAGGTTTTTGTACTGCATTTGACTGTAGTTGCTATATATGTACTCCATTTTTACCTCGAGTGCGTGTGCCTCAGCAGTGACAGGGTGTGAGGAAATTGGGGCATCAGGTATAGGTGAATTGGTAGTAGGAATGGGAGAAAAGAGAGGAGGAAGTAAGAGGATTTGAAATAAGGGTGGGGGTGGAGAACGTAATGAAGGTGAAAGGGATGGATTTTGGCAGGAGACTGTGTAGGACTGGAGTTGATGTGTTGTGCAAGCGTGTTGCCGATTGCATGTTTTTCAGCAAAGTTCATGTGGTGACCATGCGGGGTGAATTCGTTTTCTGAGAGATAATTAATTTTGAAATGTGTTACATTTGTTTCTCACAGTTGCAGTTTTTATCGTTGGTTTGCGTGCCTAATCTCCGCTGCATAGTGTTGGTCCGTTGTACCAGAGGAGCACAGTCGAGACTACAATGTTATTTTTTTGGGCGGCAAATTGTAATTTGTTTATTTGTTGATCAGGTGTAAAGTCACCACCCAAATTAAAGTAATTTTGCCCTCCTATGATAATGACTGTCCTGATTTGGTCAGTGTCTTCGTGTGGGTGTCCAACTCTGCTGACACGTCTGCAAACTTCCCGTTAGGTTTAAAAATCGAAGAGAGTAAGTAGTTGGAGGGTAACTTCCTAATGAGACTGGAGGAAAGATGTCGGTCATGGCTGTCAACTAAAATAAGTTCATATTTTTTCCACTCGATATGAATATCTTTGTTTTCAAGTGGGCTTTACATGTTTTGATTTTGGCGCGCTTCCTAGCCTGTTTGCGTTGGTGTGTGCATGTATTTGTCGATGATAGAGAAGGGTTGTGAGGATCAGGAAGGCGAGGAAAATCTGTTTCATAATCTAAAACACTAAGTTTGTTTTGAGTTGCGACTGAATGTGGAGTCCGTCTGTGCAGTCACGGGTGCACGTTTGGGAAGATTCACTGTGTTGCTGACTTGTACCCAATCGTCTGTGTAAAGAACGACCTCTTCCAACCTTCAGATATGTTGATCTAAATTACTGTTTATGTGTGTGAAGGCTTTCAGGTCGGCTTTGAGGGTGTAGAGAGTAAAAAGAGTAGAATAATTAGTAGCCATGTCACGAATGCGCCTTAATGTACGTGATAAAATTGGAGTACAACAAACTCAGGTAAGAGCAACAAGCAGTTAGGTTAATATTTTGAAAGTGTAAGATTGATGTGAATTCCATAAATTAGAAATGACGATTCGATTCACTTTCTTCGTCATGTTTTTTTACGAGCAGTTATCCAAGTTGGACGTTTTTCTTAACACTATGTACTAAGGCCTAAGATACATGCATAATTTGTGCTATTTGTCTCTAAGAATAGTAAGTGTTGAATTAAAGCTTTGATTTCAGATTTTTTCTTTGGTGGAATGTCTGCAATATGACTGTTTTTAAAATTTAGGGTTTTGCTATCTACGAAATTACACATATATCTATAGCGAGACGAACTTAAGTCCTGGCCTCGTGTCAGGGAAAAAAAAATATAAAGTGATATTTAAAATAAAATAAAATGTGAAATTTAGTCCGCACGTATTCCTGTTTGAAAAAGGCGCGGGAGCGGTGATTCGGCGAGTACCGCGCTGACCAAATGAGAAATTACAACAGAAAATAAAAAATAAAAAAATCTTAAATCTCTATTGGCTAATCCCAAGAAAGCGAGGGAAACGATCAATGCAAGACCTCACCCTTCCGGAAGGAGACAGTCGTGATAAAACTTTGGAGGTGTGAAAATCTGTTAAGTTCGAGAAGTCTTCGCGAATAATAATATTCGGACATTGCGAAGTGTGTTGTTCCGAGGAGATAAAAAAACCGTTAAAGGTGGTCATGTAGGACATTTCTCTTAGCCGAAGTTCCGCAGCAACGGATCGGAATGTAGTGGTATTGCATGAGTGCGCTAGAGCAGTACAGAACAGTGCAATTCCGAACTATTCCGAAAACTTCCCCGAGAGAAAGGCGAAAGACACGAGCCGACCGGACCGCTCCGTTCGTCGAGGCCGAGGACGAGCGACCGACAGCCCGCCCGTGAGTGGTAGGGCGAGGCCAGCGGCGGGCCCGCTCTTATCAACCCGTTAGGCGGCGCATTTGCGAACGATGCCCCCGCCGAAGACGCAGTCGTGAGTATAACGTGAATATCACGAAAGTATGTAGGAACATTTTAACAAAAGCTACAGCCATTATTCGTGAAATCTAAAGCAATTCAAAGGAGAAGGGATATAAACTTAAATTATCCCAGCGTGCATAAAAATGGTGAATTTCTTTACATGAAATGAATACTAGAATTTTTCAGAGACTGTGCTGAAGAAGACTCAAAATATTGTGCAACCTTAGGTATGGATTGTTTAGTGTAATTTTATATTGAAGAATTTCTTATGATTAAATATTTGTTTTGTGTGTTTATGATGTCAGATAGATGAATATTGTATTTCCCTTGCTATTAGGAACCGATCAGCTGGTAAACATTACCAGTTAAGGGAAATGAGTAAAACTAACGTGGAACGAATACGAGATAAATTTCAAATGTAGTAAAATGTTTTAATTAAGAATAAAAGGCAAACTGAAAGGAATTAGTAGCATATTACATTCCAGAATAAGAAATATATCTTAAACGAATCAACTGAATTCTTTAAGTTAAGAAAAATAATTTAAACTTGGATGAATATGTTTTTGATTTTAGTTAAAAATACATGAAATTTAAGTGAATATATATATATATATATATATATATATATATATATATATACTTATTTTATTACGATTAAGAAGGGTATGCTATTGAAAGATATACTTCAAGTGCTAAATTTACAGTAGAAACCGGTTATAGTGAACTTAAGTCACTGGTCCTGTTTCACTTACATCACAAATAAGCCTAAGAAGATTCGGTTATAATAAAGGTAGGAAATAGAACGTTGTGGAAATTAATTCCCTCTTGGAAAATAATATATCGCCTCAGTGCCACAAATTCCCACTCTAGGCAGTTTGAAAACAATTCTCGGCCAAAGGTCACAATTGAAGTCTTCACTACGGTGAAGGTAGCCGACAGGGAATGGGCACCTTATGTCCTTCAGTTTCAGTGCGGAAACAAAGTCCGTTTCCTGCGTGGGCAACAATTGGCGGCGGCGAGGCTCAATTTAGTTTCAGCCTTGTTGGTACTTGATATTCCACGGGACAACGCGCGTTGAGTACTACGTAGGCCACAGGAAGCACGCCAGTATTCCGCCCGGGAGACCAACGATCGGTTTCATTAGCAGCTAGCGCCATCCCGCTACCGAGAACATATCGTATGTTATTAGTCGAGTTAAAGGGTCTTCGGAGAGTAGGACGATGTTCTAACAGTGCGAGAGGCGTTGAAGGGGGTCAAGGCAACAAAGCAAACAATTTTAAAAAAATGATTTTTAAGGACAAATTAAGATATTGATATTTTCAGTTCGTATTGTTAATTTATTTTGCTTTATCTCTACATTAATAAAATCAATCGTTATGAAGAAATTCTATTTAATTTTGACATCATCGTATATAGTGAACCAAAAATATTAGTCTGGATTTCGAAGAAAACACGATCGTTTTGTTTCGAAGTGAAAAAAGGTTTTGTAGATGTAGGTGTTTTTCCTAAAACACATTACCTAGGCAGAGTGGGATTTTAGAATACCAACTCGAGAGGCATAAGATCGGATGGTCGTTGACGTCTCTAACGTCCGAGGTGACAACCACGCGGCAGCGCGGATCGCGTTAAAGAGGGCTGGTGGACAAAGTTGTGGGCGCGACATGATGGGTTGCAATTGAAAAGTTAAAATAATCTTCATTAGTCATGTAATTTACACTTTTTATCCTGGTTTAGCTTTTGTAGAGTATAGTAGGTCTAGAAGGTCACGCTTAGAAGGATAGGTAACATTTTCAAAGCGAATGTTGGAATGAAACTTTGAAATTAAAAAAAGAAAATTAGATTATTATTTTCAGAGTGTATTTATTTGTACATAGATGCAATCGGAACAAACAAAATTTTGTTATTCACATAATTAAAGGTTTTTGCAATTGTTGGAGGATGACAGGAATGGAATTCTTTGCATTAGAAGGAGAAAGGAGGTGAAAAGTGATCGAAGACTGCAACCAAGATGGGATTAGTGCTTACGAAGAGATCTGCAGCCAGCATCAGCAGGGTAGTCGCAGACCTGAAGAGTGGGGTTGTAGTCCAAGCCGGGAGGGCACTCGTTCAGGATGGCATTTCCCTCTTGGTCGCACTTCCAGAAGGAACCGCAATCACTGGGGTTGGGGAACTGAATAGTCTGTGAATTAAAACAAATATTTATTTAAAACTAGCTTAGCACATACCTAAACTAAACCATATATTGTTTGAGTTTCTTATTATAAAATCATTCAATTTTTAACTAGTTGAAAACTGACTTTTAAGTTGTAAAAAGGAAATAAATCCCAAGAACTATTGAACTATTATATTCTAGAGCCTGAATGTAATTTCCATATTTTATGTTGAGACATATATTTGTTATTACACAAACGTTTTAATACTTTCATATTTCCGTTTAATGTATCGTATATCCGCTTCTTTGCACTATTTCATGGTCTTAAAACTCAAGTTTTCTAGATTGACGTCGCTATATAGTAATGGGATGTGAAAGCGGTTGTAACGGTGTAAATGACTGTCTATTATCCTGAAATTATCGTTAGTATATGGAACCTTAAATGAAACTTTCTGATGAAATAATTTTGAATTAATTTCCGGGCGGTGCCGACCCTGCAATGGTGTTATCCTAGGCGGTCGTTCCCCCTGCTCCCCATCTTTGTTAAGCCAAGTTGACGAAATAAACTGCAGGTAACGCCTACCACGACGCCTAAACTTCGAAATTTTCCGACTCTAGCCAATAAGCCAAATAATACTTAAACATAACAAAATACGACTAGATAGTCTAACGTGTCCATCCGTTTCTTATCACTGTAAATTTTAAAATGTAATCATACGTCATTTTTATCAGCGATTTAACACATTGACGGAAATAAAATGTATTATGCTGCTCGTTTCAAAATTTTCGATGGTGTCATGCCCCCCCCCCTTGCGCACGTCTACGACTACGCCTGTGATGACGCCATGGGCACACGACTATGACCTCGACCATTGCGTTGCGAATCAATTGTACCACATACCTCTTCATCACTGTTAGCGATGGGGCAGTCGGGGGCCTGCGCAACACACACGGCCACGAGGGCGAACAGGGCGACGAGGACAACTGAAAAGAAACACACATGGTAAGATCGTTTAAGACCGCACAGTTTTCGTGCAGATTCTCATAGTTTCTCTATAGAAACTCAAGATTGCTAACTAGAAGTATAAAAGCCAAACATCGCGCATACGCTGTTTGTACGTTTTCTGAATGAATTCTATATGGAATACCACAAGACGCCGCTATGGGGTACTAATCTCAAGGCTGAAACAAGTGAATTGCGCAGTCAGAGTACTTCCAATGGCGGTATTTCTGTGCGTGTGTTCTGGCTGTGTTAAGTATTTTCATTATTTAATTACAAGGAGGAAGAAAAATACAAAGGCCGACATCGTTGTTGTCACAAGCATGCTAGTGGCTACGATGGTTATAATGGAAAACTCTTCGAATAGATTGTCGTCGGGTGCAGATGGAAGAGGAAAGCCTAGGCATATTCTCGGAACCGCCACGCCAGTACATACAAGATCACTTCAAACAAACGTACTTTGACTCACTTAACCACAAACTCCAAATAGCTAATTATCGTCGCTTTGGGTAAAGAAACCCGTTAGTGAAAGATTCATTCACTACTGGCGCTCGAGTCAAACTGTAAATTTTCTGCATGGAAAATTGTGAGCATACTCAAACGTTTTCATGCAGAAATCGTGCAGCCTGAACTGCACGTTTTCTGTAGGAAAACTATCGTCCCACAATACCTATGACCCACAATACCGGAGGGCTGAGAAGTTCACAAAGGTTAGGAGTGAAAGTAAATAAATCATTTTGACGTTAATTTGTGTTTTAAATTTACCTTCTTAATGAGGTTAGCATATGTAACCAATTTTGTTGTGCCTAGAAATGGCAAATGTTTTTATAGTTAAAGTGACGAGTCAAAAACTGCTGAGCTTAGATCATATGAACAATCCTTTACTTTGCACGTGAAAAGTTACGTTCTACTACGTAAACATTTTTTTAAAGATTTAACTTAATTTATTAAATTACAACGTACGACTGGAGATCCGAACAATTTTGAGAAGCCAAAAAGCTGTTAGTCTAAAATTGGAGTATCATTACCCCTTTGTCGTTGCTGTCTTTTTCTCAATGTTAGTTCAATCTGATACTCAAATATAATTACAATACTCAATTTTATGTATTTTTTTCTATCGTATGGTGGTGATTCATAAAGAGTATTTGAATCTTCTCTTAACCTGTTCATGAATCAGCTCCTCACACCTCGGGAGCGGAGAAGGAAGGCGAAGAGTGACAGACGAGAACTTACGGGATACAAGATTTCGCGTAAATTCGGATCTCGCGTAAATAATATTTTTATACGACTAACTTTATACGTATAATTCAAAACCAATTCCTTTTAAAACATTGACGTTTCGACTGTTGTAGTTTTCGTATCACTTCAGACATGAAGTTGTAAGTAAACTAATCTCAAGGCTGTAAAACACAAGAGAAAGTAGTCGAAATATTTTAATGGAAGTTTATTGTGTACTGACAACAAAGTTAGTCGTTAAAAAGAATGTAATAATAAACTTGCATACATAAGCACA